CACAGTTTTGCAATCCGTGCACCGTAGACATGGCAAATGTTCACGTTCTTAGTTTTTCATGTACAGATTCAGGCAGTTGCAACTTTGCTTAAACAATCCTGGATGCGCCTAAACTTAAAAAGTGCGATGTTCTTAAATGGAAGAGCAGAAAGAAACCCTGCTATTTGCTGTGGAGGCTGTGAAAATTCTGGTTTTCGGTGGGACTACATATTTCGGGCCGAATTATCATTTTTGCAACCTGATATAAAATCCTGCAGCACTGCGGATACTATCCTATAGCCACAGTCTCCCGCATAGTGCCATGTGCGTCAGTTGCATTTGAAAACACGCAAACAATGGAGACCTTGGTCGTACACTTCCAACGCTGAACCTTAAGCCCCAAACCCCGAACCCCAGGCAAACCTGCATTTGACCGCCAGAATGTCTTTCTACTTAGCCCTTGTTATATATAACCCACAGCAGAACTGCAATACAGCTACTATCAAGCTTATAAGCCTCTTAATAAATTCTGTAAGCACCATCAGGCCTTTGGAAAGCCTTTGTAGCCGCTAAATTCTAAACTCTCTAGCCCAATCCCTACACCTTTAAAGAAGCTCCAGTCTCAGGCTCGGCCTCCAGGTGCCTTGGGCAAGTTCAGAGCTCATCAAAGGAGAGTACGATAGAGGTATAGTTTAGTTGACATTTCCGGGTTGAAGATTCAGGTTTTAGGGCTTAGCTTTTCGGGGTTAACGATGCTTAGGATTGAGGGTATGTTGCACGAGGATTCTTTTGTTGATTGTTCAAGAACTCCTTATTAAACGTGAGGATGCTTCGTGCTCCTTGACGATTGTTAAACCTTTAGGATAAAGCTGAGGGCCTGTCCATGGGGACTGTTTCTCAATCATAGTGAGGGCATTTTTGTGGCCGTTTGCACGTTTCGGACATCCGAGAGGCCCTGCAACAAAATAGCGGTTTTGTCAGGATCTATGCCGGCTTTACTAGCTGAATGGCCGCTTCGTGGGGCTTGATTTTTTCCAGAACTTCAAGGGCTCGCAGCTTTGTTTCTCCGTAGGTGTGAGTGCATGATTTCAGCTGGGAACAAAAGAGCACGAACACTAACGTCCAGAAAAGGTCTTCCAAAGTCCCTGCGCAGTGGTTTTCTATTCCACTCCAAAAGACTCCCCACATGGCCTCCTGTCCTCCACCCCAAAGGTTCAAGTCTTGACCTTAAAAGCTCAACCCAAAGCCAAATTGAAGCAAAGTCGGTGGTTCTGTCACATCTCAGCCGGCTGTGACAAAGACACTGGGGATTATGCTGGCTCCTCCTCAAGACATCCTTTTGTTACCTCCGCCACTAGTCGGCTCTCTATATATATATGTATATACACAAGTGGACTTGTTGGATATACACTTCCAATACTAGAGAATCAAATGCAAGAGCAAATGGAAGATGCATGGAAGCTTTCTAGGATCATATAGGGATGATATGGGTGGTTGTCAAAATTATGGTTCCTTTTTGGGGTACCCTAAATATTAGGGGCCGTATTATAATAGGGATCCAAAAAAGGGACCATAATTGTGACAACCACCCATATGTTTCAACAGATCATAGAGCTCTAATTAGGAAGATTTCCCCAAAGACGGTCCTCTTCGTGAGGCACCCTCCTGTCGATACCTGACGTGGCAGAGCCATTCTTTGGGTGGGGTAGGGTTTTTTGACAAAGTACCAAGTCCATAGCATCAGCGCCCCGCAGAATTGAAACACTTTTCGAAGTAAGTAAGTCAGGGACCTAATCATTCGCCAATGCCTTCAGAAGGGACTCTCTCTTGCAATTTGGCTCAAGTCAGACATCGGCAACCCCCCGAAGGGGGCAGGCCGGGCCCTTTTTCTTTTTGCTGGTTGGGCCTAGGGTTTAGGTTTTTTAGGGTTCAGAGATTTGGGGTTATAGGGCTTAGGGTTTGGGATTTGGGTTTTTTGTGAGTACCGTTAGGGCTGCTTTTTTTGGAGGCTGCCAGGTTGCAAAGGGTTCGCATGAGGCTGTGAAAAAGGCTCTATATGGCGATGTATACTGTCATGGATATTACTGACATCTAGGCGCATAGCTATAGGTACCCCAAGGAAAAGGTTCAGATACCAGCTATACGCATGGTTGGACTTGTAAGGCAGTGCTTTGAGGTTTTGTTTCGGACTGCAAGTTGGGGTATAACATGTGAATTCAGCGTTCTTGGGGGGGCCTTAGAAGCCCGAAAACGCGTTCGTCATGTATGCAAGGGTTACAGCCTCATGGTTGTGAGAACGCATCCTTATGACCCTAAAGGTTCCCCCCCAAAAGCGGGTACCGTGCAAGTCACCAAGGATGTCATGGGGTTTCCCAGAGTAGGCACTTAAACGGGATCATAAAAGGATTATTTGTGAGCATGTCGGGGTTGTGTACTGTAACGCTGGTACAGAGGGTATGGAGAAGTTTCCAAAGTCCAAATCGGAAAGCAACGATTGAGGCCTGGCATTTTTTTGACCTGCAGTGCGGATTTCTGATTCCAGACGTAGCAAAGCCTTGGAAGCCCACAAGGATCACACACACACACACAAGTCGCCCCAGACTCAACCCAAAAGCAGTGCAGAATGCTGGAACGGGAGAATCCTTCAAGGAAGATATGCTACAGATAAGCCGAAGAGGGCTGGAAACGGACTAGGCTAGGACGAAAGAAGGTTTGTATCCTAAGGGCCCTTCCTCTACTTCACAAAAGCTCTTCCTAGGAGAAGCTCATGTAAAAGGTGCTCAAACTTCCGACCCTAAACCCTAAATTTACTTGTTCTTAGTAGTGAATAAGGGAATGTAATCCCTATAGGATCCCTTTATAATGTACTCCCTTATTCCCTACAAAATTCCAGTAAGTAAACTCTGAACCCTGATCCAGTTGCGAACCTGACCGGCAGAGGGAGGTGACGGCTTGGATGAGCCCCGAGCTCAGCGATTTAGGGTTTGGGGTTTAGGGTTTAGGGTTTAGGGTGTACGTACTGGGGGTTAGTAGGGAATAAGGGAAGATATCATATTGGGATGATATAGGGAGTATATGCCCACATTCCTTACTAAGCACCAGGAAGTTTAGGGCCTACTAACTTAAACCTTGAGACGTTTGGCACTACAGTCTTTATTCAGGTCATGTAATAGGTGAAGTATCATCATCTGTTCTTTGACCCGTCGTTTAAAAGCTGTATATTTGTGTCAGCTATCCTGGCATGTAGTTTCAACGCAGCATTTGTCTAGGTTTTGGGCACGATTTTTGTGGTTCAAAGGGGTGCTCTGGCTTCCTCAAATATGTTCTTGCGCTAAAACACATGTGACCGGCGCCTTCCCCCCGACGCGCAAAATGCAACCCTGTTGCTGGCAAATGGGTGACGTGGGCACAAGGTGCAGAGCGCCGCTAGCGCTGCAGCCGACTCCTGTAATGTACTATGCTTCCAAAACTACACGTAGTGATCACTGCCTATCAATCCGCACTTGAATCTTGGCTGACCGGAGGCTAAACGTTGGACTCAAACACCAAAGCAGGATGTTTACAACGATTTTCATCAGACAAGGGCCAAGGCGATTCGCAACATGGGGCAGCCTTGAATCTCAGCAGTCAAGGCCTTTCTTAGAGGGGCTGGATCAGGGTTATGGCCTCCCTTGATGCGAGGGAATCCTGTAGCCCCGCAAGACTGATGCTCCTTTGAAGGCTCTGATGTGCCCATGTTGAGTCTTTCAGGCCAGCTTCCCTCGAGACTTTAACCCCTAAACCCTAAATATTGGTTTCCATTTTCTTTTCCATTATTCCCCATACAAACCCTATAACCCCCTATTAAAACCATAAACAGACCTCTGAGCCCGAACAAGCCTGCACTTTGCTGGAGGAAACATGAAGGCAGCGGCCCTAGCCTGAGAGCAAGCAATCTGCAAGGAAATAAGGTCTCCCCTAGGAGGACATCCCACCCTGGAATAGTGACTATAAGGGATAATAGGGAATATATTAGGGTCCTATTATATTCCTATTATACCACTATTACCGGGTGGGGGGTCCTCCTAAAGTCTGCTTTGAGTAGATGTAGGGTTTGGGGTTTAGGGTATAGTCCCCCTTACGTAGATACAGGGGGGTAGTTTGGGGTTTAAGGTTTAGGGTTTAGGGCATAGCCCAGATTGAGTAGAGAGAGTATGGGGTACATGGCCTATTATGGTTCTGGCAAATTCCATAGCAGCGCGTTGCTATTGCCATGGAACACAGCTCCTCTGGGTCTGACTACTCTACAGTTGAGAAATTGGGGGGGTAGCTGGCTGCACTAGGTGACTACACCATGCGCGCTATGGGGGCCAGTTGACACAGACAGTCCTGCTCCCTAAGCCATCTGTTTGATCAGAGATCGGGTTATGGGAACTGTTCTGCTCACCTGGAGCAGAGGGAGGCAACAAGGCTTTGGAGTGGACAAGAGGGCGTCTGACACAGTAAACCTACCCAAGAGCAGACCGACGTCTCACTCAAGTGCATGTCTTCACCAGGGTTTTACTCGAACGAGCCTTGTCTCCTCAGGATGTTATGGACACTCCAAAGCCCCGGGGAACATGCACAGGAAAACTGAACCGAGGATTTGTCATTGCAGGCCACAAGCCCCAATGCCATACTTGCCGGTTGCATAAACTCGTCACTTGACACAGATGCTTACTCAAGGAATTTGAAGGGTTCACCTTGAACTGCAAATGAGCCACGCCAGGGTATCTTGGGAGTGAGAAGGAGAGAGCCAGCCTGCACATCTGGAAATCCAAGGGAGATAGCAGCAGAATGTTAAGATTAATGCGCACACCCCGCCCAAGCCTCGAGCCCTAATTTAGGGGCCTTACTGACCAACTCATGGTCACATACTCCTCGTACGATTTTCGTATCGCGTGTCTCAGACAAGCCTCAACATGATCATGGTAATTATTGAGGCCCCTTCATTACATGGAGAAAACCTCACTTACACTTGGGCGACCCCTGGAGTCAGCAAGGCAGAGACGTACCACGTGGTGCCTCGGCTTGGTAGATGAACTGAACAGTATAGGGACTTTATGCGGATATCCAGGGGTCATCTAGGGTTTTGTATGGACTACAGGGAAATGGAAATTAAATAGCAACTGGGATTATATGAAAAGGGAGCATGAGAAGTTTTTCAGAATTATGGTCCGTCTTTGGTTCCCTAGCATGATATGACCTCTCAAATTCAGCGTGCCCCAAAAACGTCAAATTCTGACAGCCCTTCATATGCGGCTTGGGCGGCTTAGGGTTTCAGATTTAGAGTCAAGTCGAAGTGTTTTTTCAACATGTAGATGGGAGAGACTGCTTGAAAACGCCCATACATGTTGAAAGTAGAGGGTCAGAAGCAAATTAGGTTCCCGATTTAGTTGAGATGTAGAACACGCTCGGGAGAGCGGTTCCTTTTTGCGGTTCTTTCATATCCAGTCAATTCCAGTTATTTTTGTAAACTATAGCAGACTTCCCGAGCTCAAAGCATTCTGGGCCAGAACAGTACTCATAGTATAGGTTAATTATTTACTGGATTCGCCGCCCAATGTATACATGCTTCCAGATTGAAGACCTGGACCCAATTTACCCTAAAATCCCAGATAGGTAAGAGGGATCGCAGCATGCTGCAACCGGGTACTGTCATGCAGGGAGTGCTCGCAGGCACTGATGGCCGGCGTAGGCTCTAGGCCGGTAGGTATGAGGTATGTCCCGTGCTGGGCCCAGCACAAGGGCTATAGTTGTTCCACCATTCCTACTGAGTCTGGAATGTTATTGCCGAGTGGTAGCTAGACTCCATATACTCGTCTAAACCCTAAACCCTAGACCCTAAACCCTAAACCCTAACAAAGTGGTAGGGTCTAGGTAGAGGAGTTCAGGTAGGGGTCATCATTCAGTGCAGGTCTCTCCTCGACCAACCTCTCCTCAGCCAACTTCGCCAATGTCTGCGACCTCCACAGCGATTCTTACATGTTTGGGGCAGGTAGGTTCTGAAATGCCCACAAACCGTGTTTGTGGAGCGATGGAAAGGTTTTTGAGTAATTCTCAAAAATTGGGGGCGGGGGGGGTGACGTTATTGGAACCAATTCTAGCACAGCATGTATTATAATACCTGAAGCCAAAACCTTACATTTGTTCACCACCCAACTGCCTCTGCTCTTGACCCCTAATCTTGGGGTATGAGTATTGCTCAGCTCGGGTTAAGCTTCAGACTTGGGGCTCGTAGTTGAAGATGAAGAGAGGATTTGGGTCATCCCAATCCCCTAAAAAATATGAGACCCTGAAGCTATCAATGCATTGCCTAAGATCCAACTTTTGAAATTCATGGTCCCTTTTTGGGTGCCCCGTCCGTGATCAGGGTCCTTGCGTTTTGGTAATTTGGGCCAAGAAGCATGGTGGCCGATGAAGGGAAGAAGCCTTGCGTGGCAGTTGGGAGGCTCCTTTTACGTTTCATCCTCCTGTTCTGGCACGTGGGTGAAATCTTCAATATCAGCCCAAACTTATTGGTTCTTAGTGGGATTTAGTGGGGAAGAAGGGAATATAATCCCTGTATACTCTATTCCTTATTCCCTACTAACCCCCAGTAAGTCAAATCTGTGGCTAGTCTTGGCTTCTTATGAGCCATGCACAGAATGCAGCGGCATTTCACGGCATGGAAGCCATGCTGCCAAGAAATAGCTCAAAGCCGTTGCAGGATGGGTAGCTCTCTCCCATCAGCCTTTTATACCCATAAGTTATGTAGAGGTGTGCCTGCAGTACTCTGGCTATGCCAATAGACTATAGCCCATTTTGAGGCCAGAATCATGTTGATATTGACTTTCTGAAAGGTCTTATGCCATGGAAGGTGCTTACCCATGTTTGGCTTGTGACTTTGCTTTGCCCGCACAAGTGACATGACTTGGTTCCATGAGAGCTGGCTTGAAAATCAGGATGCCGGCATATTAACCCCCATGTTATGATCCCATGGGAAAAGATCTTATACTCCCAGAACAGAGCTGGAAGTGTGGCAGGAGCATTGCGCAATCAGCGAAATAAAAGCTGAAGGAAAAGTTCTTCCGCTTGATACATTCACACTGCTTGGCTTCTTCATGTTCATGTATTAGCGTGAAGTTGCAAAAAAATTGCTTGGAACTTCTCAGTCGCGCCTTTGAAGCTTCAACAGTCCTGGCTAGCGCAGGTCATTTCACAAGCTCTTCGTTCTAGACTCGCCCCATCCGTATTATCCTTACTGAGCATTAGTACTCTTGGAACTTCTGTTCCTGGTACCATAATTACGGATCCTCTCCCAACACTGCAAAAGTGCTGCCAAGCAAAGCAGCAGGCCGACATCGAAGGCTTCAAGGCACCGCTCGATGTTCCAAAGGGTCCATGCACTGGAGCAGCAAGAAAGAGTAACACACACATTTGAGGCAAAGAACTGACACTACAGATGATTAAAGGTAGGCTTTTTTGTAGATTCTTAGATGGTTCATCTTGTGTGCGTGAAAGAGCCATTTTCTCGGCCATGAGTAGTGTGAAAACATCAGGAGTAGACCCAGTAGCCCTTTGCGGTTCACGTAAGGAACACAGCAGATACACATGACGGCTGCGTCTCATACTTGGGGTATGATGGAGCAGTGACATGGTGCGCCATGTTTCATTCTTCACATGGTTCTCCATGAGGTGATGCCATGTTGGGCTTTAATTCCGAATAAAATGGAATGAAGCGGACGGACTACTGAGAAGGTGACGAAATAGAGCTGGATTTTTTGTCCCAGACGGGACAACAACAAGGCAGGCACAGAAAGATGAGAAGCTCTCCGCTGGAGTCCCCAGAGAAAAACACTGAAACAGTAGACACGCCAGGCTGCCTCGAAGCAAACACGCGAATCAATTTCTCCCGGTTGGCGTGCCTTTGACACTAAGTGGGTTTGGGGTTTAGGGTTCAGGGTAGGCCCCCCGAACCATTTGTCCCAAGCAGAATTGGTGGACCCCTTACTGTACCCGTTATTGCTCTGTTCTTCGAGCGGATTTCCTGGCAGGTTGCGTATGCCGACACTGTGCGAAGTTCCCCCACAAACATCCCAACTCAAACTTACATATCCCCCACAAGCGCGCTGCTACACCACTATGGCGCAGCCCGTAGCACGAAAAGCACATGCCGAGCGTTCGACTAGGTCATGGACACACCTCAGCAGACATCCAGGGTAAAGCTTTGGCAACTGGCATCTTGGCTGTGAGGTAGGGTTTGAGGTTCCAAGTTTGATTGTGCAAGGTTTAGGGCTTATGCAGTAGGGTTCGGCTTCCTTTCATTTCGCCGGCTATGAAACATCCCCCATCTTCCCCCAGCATTGAAGATGATGGTCGGCTTTTGGCTCTACTGGGAACATGCTTGATGCGCGGGTGGGGGGGGGGGGGGGGGGG